CAAGCTCTTGCGCAGACGACACACGAGGCTCTCCCTGCCTCGTTCCTCAAAGTCTACTGGTTGATGCATATAGATTTCTTCCTCCAAATCTCCATAAAGGAATGCTGTCTTCACATACATCTGTTCTAGATGGAGATCTCGAACTGCCACAGTGCTCAGCACAGTCCGGATCGTGGTCAACTTGACGACGGGAGTGAAAACATCAGAATAGTCTATCCCTGCTTTCTGCTCATAGACCTTCACTACAAGCCTCTCCTTGTAGCGTCTCCGTCCATCGGCTTCATTCTTGACCCGATAAATCCATTGATTGTGAAGAGTCTTTCTCCCTCTTGGAAGCTTTACGATCTCCCAAGTCCCATTCTTCATCAAGGACTTCATTTCTTCCTCCATGGCAGACTCCCACTCACCCTGAGCTTTGCCAGTCTGCTGTACCTCCTCATAGATTTCTGGTTCACCATTGTCAGTCAGGAGAAGATAATTCATGGTGGAAAGATACCTCTCTGGGACCCTTAGATTTCTTAGAGCTTTGTGAATTGCGATCGGCAACTCTGTTGGATCCTGCTGCTGTACATCCGACATGTTCTCTTGGTCTCCATCTTCTATGCTAATTGGTATCTCACCGTCATCCTCACCGTCAGCAATGTCTGGGAAAAGAGGGGGATAGTTGACTCCTACTCACCTCTTTGGTCTTGTACACCGCATTCTCATGGAACACGACGTCACGACTGCGCACCACCTTGCGCGCATCGTGATCCTAGAAACGGTACCCATACTCATCTCCTCCATAGCCGATGAAAGAGAGCTTCTTTGACTTTAGATCAAGCTTTGACAGGTCTGCAGGATTGATCATGACATAGGTGTCACAACCAAATACTCGTAAGTGCACTAGCTTCAGCTTCTTTCCGGTCCAAACCTCCTCAGGTATCCCATAACTAAGAGCCACGGATGGACCGCGGTTGATCAAGTATACAGTAGTATTGACAGCTTTGGTCTAAAAACTCTTGGGCAATCAAGAGTGGTCCTCATACTTCTGGTGTGGTCCAAAATAGTGCGATTCATATGCTCTGCCACTCCATTGTGCTGAGGTGTGCCTGGGACGATCTTCAGTCTCCTAATCCTATGAGACGAGCATAAGTTCTCAAACTCCTGGCTACAATACTCGCCTCCATTATCAGATTTTAGGCACTTCAGCTTATTACCTGTTTCATTCTTCACACAGGCAAGCCACTTCTTAAAGATGATGAAAACATCTGACTTATGCTTCAAGAAGAACACCCATAATTTTTAGTAGCATCATCAATAAAAGTGACAAAGAAAAGAGAATTTCCAACAGATGAGACTTGCGCAGGTCCCCACACGCCGGTGTGCACTAACTCTAATTTCTGCAGTTTTGGAACCGGTCCGGTCTTGTTGAAGCTCACATTCTTTTGTTTGCCTAGGATTCAGTTCTCACAGAAAGTCAGATCGATCTTATTCAGACCCGGAAGTCTCTCTCCCGCGATCATAATCTGCATCCCCTTCTCGCTCATGTGGCCAAATCATCGATGCCAAGTCATGCAGTCGACGGATGATGATGATGATGCTTATCCTGCGGCAAGTAAGTGGTTGATCTTCCCGTTGGCAATGTAGAGTGACCCCTTGGGTTTGTCGTGTGCCACCACCATGGCACCCTTGGACCCCTTCCAGCTTATCTGTTCAAAGGATACTCTGTAACCGGAGTCAGTCAGTTGCTCGACTGATATAAGATTTTGTCTGAGATCCGGTACATGCCGAACATCGTTCAGCGTCAAGGTGGTCCCGCCCTCCATCTTGAGGGTACAATTTTCCTTCTCGGAAACTTTTCATGGTTGATCATCGTCAAGATAGACTGTCCCCAAGTCCTTCTTCACGAACGATGAAAGCAGCTTTTGTTGTGAGGTTGCATGGAAAGATGCATGAGATTCGATGACCCACACATCGCTTTTGTCTTCTAGGGATAGGAGAAGCACATCTGAATCCGTCTCGTGTATGAGATTGGCTGCACAGTCAGCCCGATCATCCTCTGCTGATGCTGGAACAGAAACTCTGCAGTCACGTGCAAAGTAACTCTTCTTTCCGCATCTGAAGCACTTTCCTTCATCGTAACCATTCAGGTTTGGCCATTTAGACTTTCCTCTGGATTTTGATTGGCCTCGTTATCCCCTACCCTTCTTCTGCGCACGCCCTCGTGCCTCAACATGCAGATCACTCCCACTGCTAGAGGACTCAGCTCCTGAGACCTTGCGGCAAGATTCTTCATCCAGAATTGCTCCAACCACTGTGTCGAGCTTCATCTTGTCATTTCCATTAGCGTTACTCACCGCCATCATCATATTCTCCCATGAATCTGGTAAACAAGAAAGTAGCAGAAAAGCTTGGATCTCATTATCGAACTTGAGATCTACTGCAGCAAGCTGTTGCACCACAGCCTGAAATTCATTCAAGAAGTCCGCCACACGAGCTCCTTGATACATCTTTAGATTGAATAGTTTCTTCATCAGGTACATCTTATTTGAAGCAAACGGCTTCTCATACAGCGCCTCCAAGGCCTCCATCGACTCCTTAGTGGTGGTCGCATGCGAGACGTTGTAAGTCACATGCTAGTGAAGGTTGAGTCTGATAGTGGTAAGTACTTTACGATCGAGCACCTTCCACTTATCGTCATCTATTTTCTCAGGTTTCCCCGCCTCTTCTTGGAGGGGTACGAAGAGATCCTTCTGGTACAAATAGTCTTCTATTTACATCATCCAATACCTAAAATTTTGGCCGTCGGATTTCTCAATTCTAAGCCTGTTGTCTTCAACTGTAGATCTCATGGCGAAAGATTACTTTTTTCTCGAATCGTATTTGTGAATAATATCGTATTTGTGAATAGTGTCGTAACCATGAATAGTGTCTAGTGCCTTAAAAGATCATCTACATTGTTTGAGCATCCAACTCTTCTACCTCTCCCTCTTGATTTATAGAGAAGTTTTCCTAAACTCTATTTCTAGCTATTTATTGTTTTATTCATAAATTCCCATAAGCTAGATTTTAATTGAGTTTTGTTGATTTGATTTCACTCATTGTTTACACACACCCACTTGAGCTTATTATATTTACATACATAGTATATTAAGGTTGTGAGAGATTGTAACATTGAATTGTGCTTAATTGAGTTCTCACCTTGTATTAGAGAACAAATCATTTGTTGTTACATTGTTAGTGTTGTAAAGTTTTCGGTGAGCTAGAAAACCAAGTGTGAGTTGTGAAGTTTTCGGTGAACTAGAAAACCGAGTGTGAGGTGTGGACGTTGATTGGTGAGCGTTGAAAACCGACATTGTGAGGTGTAAACGTTATTCGGGTGAGCATAGAAAACCCGATTGTGATAGTGGAGATCTCCTCGAGGTGACGAGCGGGGACGTAGGTCATGGGGACCGAACCTCGTGAACATATCGTTTGTTTGTGATTGCATTGGCGTACTTATTTTTGTGTTTATCATTATATCGCCTTTGTCAATTTCTCATTGTTTATATTGCCCACTATCTTATTTATCTTGTTTATATCTTGTTTCACCCTTGTGTTAGTTTCTTATCCACTATCTTATTTATCTTGTTTATATCTTGTTTCACCCTTGTGTTAGTTTCTTATCCTTGCATATATCCTCTTGTATAACTATCTTGCAAGAATATATTTGTATTAGTTTTAATTGGCATAAAATTGGATTAGATTAACATAAGACCCTAATCACCCCCCTCTAGGGTCTAACAATTTATAGTGTTTGGAAAAATACTATGCACTAATAAAATATATTGGTTAGACCTGCCTTTGTGGAGCCCACCTTTTTTCAAACTTCACCTAAAATTAGGTAGCCAAACTCTCCTTTGTCAAAGAAAAGGTGAGGCTGGGGCTGTACATCTACCTCCATCTTCTTCATCTCCATCACCTCTTCTGCTGGTATTCTCACCTCCTCCGCCATCACCACCTCCATTGATGTGTCAATACCTCCACCAGTAATGTCACCGTCACCATTTAGGAATATGAAGAGAGATGAGTATAACTCTCCTTTGAAGAAAACTTTAAAGAATTGAAATATTCTCCATCCATTATAACCACAACTAATTGGAGGAACTAATATCAATATATTAAGATAATTTGAGACTAATATCACAATATGAAGGTTTGAAGGACTAATATCACAATGCCTATGATTTGAAAGACTAATCTATTAGAAACCCTTAAAACTTTAGCTAAATTACCAAATTGGTTATTATACACCTCTCTTGGCTTCGGTGTTGTTTTGGTGTTTTTCTTGATCAAATGTGCCGTTAGACTCAAAACTACACGGTCGATGGAAAAAACATCGCAAAAGCTCATATGATCCTATTAATGCTAACTATATCCAAGCTTACTCAAGAAAGTTGAGTCCACTACAAGGAAGTAACTTTTAAGACAAAGAAGAGAAGAGCATAGTATTTACCTTCAATTATAGCAAAGAGAAAACTTTGGGAGGCAAAAATCCACTAGGAGAAAAGAAGTTTCACAATTTTTTTCATCGCGGGTGAAGTTGTCTGTCTAATTACATATTTGGCTTTGAAAAAATATCAAAACATTTTTAGAGATTAAAAAATATTAAACTGGCAAAAGGGGTGTATAAAATATAACAATTTGGTAATTTAGATGTAAACTTCTTTCAAAATTATAAAAAGAAAAGAAAAGAAACAAGAAAAAGAAGAAGAAGAAAAATATAACAAACCACTTACATAGTAGCAAACCCCATGCGTACTTTCTATCATCTAATAGCCCCACAACTAAAAAGATTTTTATATAATTTATTCGATTAATATCATTTTTGGAATTCACTGAGTGAATAATGGTTATTGATGATGAGTCGTAAACATCCTCTACAATCAAGAACGTAGGAGATCCCGATGCCATTTAATTTTATGCTTTTTCAGTACCGATCAATATAACTAAATATCACGACTAGCAATTCGACTGACCTGTACTGCGAAGATCGGGAACGGCAAGACACTGACATCAATTTCAGGTACCAGTTTCTTAAAAGATCCAACATCGTGGATTTCACTAGCCCTAAGTCGTCGGATATCGAAGTCCGCCTCGGCTTCATAGAAGCTAACGTTCAAGTCGGAGAAGTCGATCTCGACATCTCCGGTGGAGGGGACGTGAGTGAGCGTCCCGGCAAGTGGCAAGTAATCGACAAGAGTCGCGGAAAGTGAGGACTTGAGTAACTCAGCGAGTGACTGGGATGAGCGCGTAACGTTGGGATTCGAATAGAGCATGAGCCTTTGGATTGGAGGGATACCAATCCAAATTGAGTCGAAGAAGGAGAGCTTAATCGGAGAAGGTATCTGTGGCAGTGGAGGGAGTGTGACCCGAGACACGGTCAGGATTTGAATTGATCTTTGCGACATTTTTTTGTTTAAATAATGCTAGGGGCACACTCTCAACCACACTTCCAACCACACCTCCACACTCTCTACAGTGCTAGTGGGCCATGCATGATATTTTTTTAAAAATATCATGCATGGCCCACAAGCACTATAGAGAGTGTGGGAGTGTGGTTGAGAGTGTGGTTGATGGTGTGCCTCTAGTGGGACTCTTTTTGTTTTCACCCCCTTGAAATTAAGCCAGAATAACCTTTATTCTATTATACTGAGAAGTGAAATGAGATGGGAGTTCCTTGTCAGCTTTTGTGCTCTCTGTGACCAAATTTTGGTGCTCTCTGTGGTCTTTAGCCTGCAACGCGGACGACGAAGCAACCTCATATGAGTTCATGTCAATATGGATAACAAGAGAGGATAGAAAAAGCTAGGTGGTTTTAGCCTTTTAGGGGTGACAAATTGGTCGGGTCAATTTCGGGTTGGGTCAATTTTAACCTAATACGTAGCTACTCAACCCGACCCGTTTAGTAAACAGGCCACCCAACCCCTCCCCTCTCCTCCCCCACCATAAACAAAAAACCCCAGGGACAGATCCAGAAATTTTATCCTATGGAACAATTATACAATTATAAATATAAATTAACGGCTCATATAATATAAATTCTACCAGTGGAGAAACTTATTTATATAGTAATTATAAAATCTCAACACATAATACTTTTCATTATCATTATCATCAAACTATACTAACTTACAACAATAGTCTTTCAAATTGTTGTCTCTGTAAGGGCACCAAATAAATAGTTCATGGGGCACCAATTAAAATTTAAGATAAATTCTATAGTTTTTTTTATAATATTTGTGGGGGGCATGTGACCCCACACCCATCCATCTACATCCGTCATTGCATCCTCTCTTCTTTCTTTCAGTAATGGAGCTCCTCAGGTGCTGTTACCCGTAGTGTGGATGGCTCAGATCATGCACCAGAAAAATTGAGCATGGATCATAATCGGGTCATACCGTGTCGACCTATGACTCGTCGGAACATATGGGTCAACACGATTATGACCGTACCCATGCATTTCGATCCGAACCCATTTTTGATGGGTCGGATTCGAGTCAGGTAGTGGGTCGAGTAGATTTTGCCACCCCTAATCGTTTATATACAGAAATTGAAAATAAACGTGCGCCAACAGTTTCATTCAATTTTCCTCAGTATACAACATACATGTGTCGTTGAGGATAAATTACCAGATTGGAATTTTATATGGAACCTATTTGACAAAAAAGGTATTTTAAATAGCCCTCTCTTCATTTAGGCATTTTAATTGGCCTAAAGATGCAACAAGGTATATTTCTGATCGGCGGCATATTTCTCCGGCGAGCTTCCATCATGTGATTACACGTGATGAATAATTTTGATTTTCTAGTTTATAAGGTAGAAAGGGAACACTAACATGGAGATGATAGTTGGGGTTCTTTAACTTTAGAAGCCGATCTCAAAAGGGGGAAATTTTGAAAGCAAATCGAAATTAGTATTCATAGAAAAAAGGAATCTAAGAGGAAATTGATGGGGCAAACGCAAGAGAAAAAGAGGGATAGGATGAAAACTTAAAGATATTAGACTTCAAATTGGGTGTTATAGAAATGAAGTTATGCCATCTTCAAGCTCAAATTGTTGTTCAAGGTCCAGCAGGAGATGGAAAATTTGGATTTGTTTGGAATGAGATTGATATGAAAAACTCAAACACACAACAAATGGAACTGAAGGGTACCTATATTATTTAATAATCTTGGCTTATATAGCCTTACAATAAAACATAAACCCCTAACAAACTGCTCACGTTTAGCACTCAAAGCTAACGTGTTTGAAACAAATAACAACTCAAACTTATCCCTTGAGACCAGGGTTTATTAACAGAAATCAAAGACCAAGTAAAACATGAACTTGGTAAAACCCCTAACCCCTAAATTCATGGAACCAGCTCCTTCATTCCCTCCCTTAAACAAACCTGAGTTTCATTAGTTAGTTTACTTGATGCAGAACAGACTCCAAGCTGTGCTCGAAGCTTCTGAAAAGTATCACGCTTCAAAGGCTTTGCAAGAATGTCAGCGCCTTGCTCCGCTCCTGTGAACCACAATGCTCCAATTTGACCACTCCATCATTAGCTAAAAGTCACGCAAGAAATAAAAACGCACATCAATGTGCTTGCATCTCCTATGAAAAATTGGATTTTTGGATAACTTAATTGCTCATGTGTTATCACACAGAATTGTTGTGCTCTCATTCAATGCATAACCCAAACAGGCACAGACTTCTGCAGCTATATACTCTGTTTCCGTTATTGAGAGAGTCACAATGGATTGTTTCTTTGTTGACCAAGCTACTGATCCATTACTCAGCAAGAATGTGTAGCCAGAAGTGCTCTTTCTTCTATCAATATCCACTGCATAGTCGCTATTAGTAAACACCTTTAGTTCTCCATCTCCACCTTGCTTGTACCAAATGCCATAATCCAATGTCCCTTTCAAGTATCTTAACACTCTCTTGGTTGCCTGGTAATGAAGTGTAGGCTGTCTAAAAATCACAATAGATAGCTGAGTCTCCATCGAACACTGATGATGGAAGTTACAATCTGACGACTTCCAGAAGGCTACAATTCGAAGATTTTCACATGTCAAAGAGTTAAAGCAAAGATTACAAAACGACAGTCTTTAGCAATACTCTGACAGAAAGGGATTACAAATCAACGATCTCTTCAAACCAAGACGTGGAAGTCCTCCCCGCGTACCATTATCAAGACACTACACCGATTCAATCACCTGCGCCGCTTCAACAGCTACAAACACGAATGCAGCTTCTTATGTGAGATGATTGATCTTGATGGCTGCGACAACAACATGACTAATATTATATTAGCAACCAGTAGAGGTGCTGATGAGCAGTGTAATGATATTCGACACACTCAGTGAAGATCATGACCTGCAGTTGATAGAGCGTTATTGAGATGCTTCAATTGTCACAAATGGCCTGAATAAGACCTTCGTTACTGGTCATTGGTGTCATCCATATATAAAGACAGAGAAATCTAAATACTGCAAACAATCAACAGCTCGAACGCAGCTCCAATCGCTGCCAAGCACAGCTCAAACGCAGCTCCATCGCTGCCCAACGCAGCCTATCAATCGCTGCCCAACGCAGCTTATCAACCGCTGCCCAACGCAGCTTATCAACCGCTGCCAACGCAGCTCATCCATCACTGCCCAACGCAGCCCGTCAGTCGCTGCCAAACGCAGCACAATCACCGCCAAAACGCAGGTTAAGGTTCTGACTCATTCAAACGCGATCGTAACAACTTCGAAGCTGTTCTTCACCCACGATTTGAGGAGTGGCTTTAGTGGGTTGTTACACCCGATTAATGGGGTAACTAAACCCCCATTTAGGCGCGGATTAAGGGGGCAGTTACCACCCGTAATCCCCCTATAAATAGCAACAAACTCAACAGAGTTAAAGATCGGATTTTTGATAATCAGATCAAGGGCGGATTTTTGGTTGAGGGGATCTTTCAGGCGAGGTTGGAATTTGGAGAAGATCTTTTCGATCAGATCTTCCAGAATCAGAAAAAAAGGAGGATTGACTCCTTACACAGTCTGGGAAATCAACAGGCGGAGGAACTCTAAACCGTCGATATTTGGCTTATTAACCGAATTATTTTCGGTTCAAACAACTCTATCATTAGAGTTTGTTACTTGTTCTGAATCACTAAACTCATCAAGAGTTATCAACCAGACAAGACAGTTGTTCCAGTAAGTATAGATATTCGGATCGTCAACGAGAAGCAAACTCGGCGCGAACATTCGAGGGAGGCATCTCATCGCTACCAAGAAGAACCCAAAATTAAACAAAGGAGAGAATCCCGATCATTCTCTTCTCTTTTGTAATCGGAAATCCAATTGTAATTGAGAGTTGAGAGAGTTGTAAACATTCTTTTTCTAAACAAATTAGAAAGAATAAAAATCAAATACAGTTCTTTCATTATTTTCTTATTTGCAAATTTCCAACAAACATGGTGGCGCAATCCGACGTTCACCTCACTGGAACAACCGTAGAAACCTTGGTTGTGGAGTTTGACCAAGCCAAATACGAGGAAGCCCTCTCTTCCGGATCGCTTAGCCCTAAAGCTAGGCGAGATGCTTGCAAGAGCTCTGAAGAGGTCTTAACTGCTGTTGAGACGCCAAAGAAAGCCCTCTCCTTTGGCCAAAGCCTCAAGCTTGCTCTGCAAGCCGAAGATCCCACGCCTATGTCGACACAGCGTGTACTTGGTTGTAAAAGGCCTATGACAGAGAAAAGCACAATCAACGCCGATGACGCTGCTGCTAAAAGCATCATTACCAGTATAAATGAGATCATCGACATAAACACTGATAATGAGAACTTTATCTCCACTGTCCTTCTTGAAAAATAGAGTCTGTTCATTCTTGCTTCTTTGAAAATCCTCATTGACAAAGTAAGCTTCAATACGACTGAACCAAGCCCTAGGTGCTTGTTTCAGTCCATATAAAGCTTTATGAAGCTTGTAGACTTTGTGCTCACTCCCCTTGATCACATAGCCCTTTGGTTGTTGTACATAAACAACTTCTTGCAAAGCTCCATGCAAAAACGCCAATTTGACATCAAGTTGGAAAATCTCCCAGCCATTTTTTGCTGCAATGCCAATCACCATTCTCATTGTGTCCATCCGACCGACTTGTGTGTATACCTCTGTATAATCTATCCTAAGCTTTTGAGAATATCCCTTCGCCACCAAGCGAGTTTTGAGCTTGTCTACTTCCCCGAGTTCATTGAGTTTGGTCTTGTAGATCCATTTAACACCAATGCACTTAGCTTCTTTTGGCAACTCCATTAACTCCCAAGTCTGGTTTCATTCAATTGCTTCCATTTCAGCATCCATTGCTAATCTCCACTCCTTGCTTTTCTTTGCCTCCTCAAAGGTTGATAGATTACATGTGTCAATCTCAACCATGTTCAGTTCTGC